TCAATCCAGTTAGATCCATCGCAATGTGTGTAAGAATTACTACTTAAGACCTGTATGCATTGAACTGTATTTTCGCAGCGCTGAATGTATTAGAATAGATGTAGTCGTAGGAGTAGGGTTTACAAATTTCTCTTGCAGGGTGTTTTCGTTGATATTCGTAAACCCAGCCTATACAAAATGTATGTAAATAAACGTTATCACTTCCGAAATTAATCCTAAGCACGAGCACGATAATCACGAAAAAGACCAAATGGGAACATATTAGTAGATAATGTTTAGTTGGATGGTGCGTATTCGTGATTGTTAGAGGTTTGTTTTAGTTTCGTGTGCAAACTAATCTTGGGCTTAACTTGTGGTGGCATAAGGGTAATTTAAACTCTAATTGGCATAACTGAAGCAATTATTTTGCTGTTAATGTTTTCGTTTGCTTTGCATTCAACTTCTTTCGCCACCTACACTAAATAGTACCTTATCTTAATCGAGCTAGTCTAGGTTAGTGTTACGTTTTGGTGATTTCAGCACGTAGCAACAAGAGCTGTGGCTAACGTTATTGACATGTGCAATTTAGTCTAAGCATGAAGCTTGAATGGTTCATGGTATCAAAACAATTTTTGCCGACAAATCCAGCTTGTGTGGTGCATCGTATCCAAATCTGATTTTATGTATCGTAATAATGCACATAACATTTTGTTGACGCCAAAATCATGTAAATCACCACACTCTGATGATATGTGTGCTTGATATTGAACTATCATCGGTATGTTATTTATATATTAATTTCTTCGTGTTATCTTCATGTCTTCGCTATAGACCGCTTCAGTCGCAGACACTACCACACAAGTTAAGTGTTATGCTCTATTTCTGATTTTGTCCTAGTTAATTGTGTGTTTTTAAAGTTTTAATATATTTGTTTGATTATGTATATTATAGCTTTGAATCATTCTTACAATTAGGTATTTCACTGTTAATTTTGATGCTATCGTATATTATATTTTAATTAAAATGTGTTAACACTAAATCCTGGTGTATTGCAAGGTTTTGTTTGTCTCACTTTGATAGATTATTTGTTTATCCAATCATCCAAATGTGCATATGCACGTGTAAGCTGTATTTTTCATAAACGCTATAATTTTTAATATTCGTTCTATGTTTAATATCTTTAATGCAATATTTGATAACAATTTACATTTAAGCTTAATGGAATCTATAATATATTTTTTTACAGGAACTATTATTATTCATAATTAATACAAATTATAAAATGTAAGACGATTAAAATGATGATTTTAGTGTAAATATTATGAGGTGTTCTATACCAGTAGGTAGGAAACAGATCTATTTTTATACATATGACTTAAGTATTTTTAATAATAAAATCACTTAGGAACTTATGTATATCCGGGCGATGACATAGGTAGGAAGCTTCACAATATAATTTTATTTGTATTGCATTGAACTGTAATAAATTAAAAAATGTGATTCCTGTGGAGTTTCTTGCGCCGCTTCTTCTCCACAGAAGGACACTTTCCGAAGCGGTGGTAGTATTGTTAAAAGTAATTTCTTGAAACGATAAATCAATAAATATCAAAACGATGAATAAATATAAAAACATTTAATAAATATTTTAAAACTATTTTCTGTCGTTTTATTCCTTCTCCTCTTAGTTTTAAGCATATGCGCTTGAAAGCTGGTCTAATTGTACCAGATGGAAAGTCTGTTTCACTGTTATGAATAAAATTGTAAAATTTGCTTAACTTTTTTTCATCTCAATATTTAAATCGCCTTTAAGAAGATAAAGAACTAAATTATTTCATGATTCTGTTACGAAACACTGAATCTATTTTACAGAAATCTTGTTCTTGTTGAAATTCTGTACTTACATGTAAATTACCAAAGATCTGCCTGAGATAAAAATATATCTCGTAGGAAGTGTCCATTTCTGTATGGACGTACACAAACAGTAACTAAAATAATAAATTTTCGTTAACTTCAAAACTCACTAAAAATAAAACGTTGCTGAATATAATTTCAGACTTTACGAAGAAATTATTAAAAGCAATATGACTGTAAGGTTACTAATTTTAAGACAATTAGTAAAGGGCCACTGGACCAACTAGGCTATATTGCTAATGTAAAATCTAGATGGCGCTGATCTCTGTATTGGTCTGAAGATGTGGTTGTTGATAGTTCTTGTAGATTAATATAGATGGCTCATGAAATTTTAAAAATATTTTATTCTACTGCTGGCCCAAATTTCATAAACGTCAGAATACAAAAGTTTATAAAATGTGCAATGGGATCATTTTCCGGTGCAAAAAATGATATTTTTTTTATTAGAAGCTACGAACAGCTAATCATTTTCCTATATGGAAATAAGTATGTGTGTGTCGTGTTGTAGGATTCAAGAACTCCACTTCTTGATTCTTATACGAGTATTTTAAGGTCTAGTTAATCTGTAGAAATTTTGCGATCCAGACTTGGTGATGAGTGAGGTGAGCCCTGAAGTCGTGCCTTTGGCTGGAGAGGTAATAAGTATTTCTTTCATTGAGCGCAAATTTAATTTGCAGAGTGAATGAAAATCCACAGAACCTGTAGGTCTTAGTCCGTGCAAAATTTCCAACGTGTCAACCACAGTCTGATCACCTATTGGCTCTTAAAATTTAAATATTTTTTATAAATAATTTAGTAATGAAAACATTACGACTAAGGGAAGATAAGAAAAAAACTCGCATTAAATATGTAAAATTATTTTAATATTGCATTACAATAAAATTGTCACAACAAGGAATTTCCACGCCTACCTTACACTAAAGCCCGATTCACATTGTTATATTTATTTCAGTACAATCGCTATCTAATAATTTACTTGGAAACTATATATGTATAACGACGAGTCCTTAGCACGAAAAATTCGTTAATTCGAAGCATCGAATAGTTAACGTAATTGATAGTAAACGGTAGACTGTGTATTTAAAACAAAACTGGAGCAAAATTATTTGGAAAATCTAGGCTTTCGATCTGTCAAAAACTGACAGATAGATAGGCCTCATGCATAAGTTCGAATATAAAAAACTATCACTTCCTGTAGGCTGTAACAGTCATAAAAACTAATCTATCAATTATGTTGTATATTAACTTAAGAAATGGACCTCTGTACTGAATCGTGAAATATCGTGTTTAGGGAATTATGTTTTAAAACATGATGAAAAAAGCGGAGGATTACGTGACGTATTGACATTTTGCATCAATAATTTCGTAAATTAGTTCCTCAAATGTCAAAACCAAGGTCGTTTAGAAGAAGATAGATTCTGTCTCATCAAAAGGGTCTTTCAAATTATTATGGAACTACAGTTTGACAGAAAATATATCCAAATGGATAGATACTAGCGCCACTCTTAGAGTTCTTAAAAGAACCGAACTCTCTTCTCTCCGATCTTTAACGTATGTTCCCAACAGCTGCGTTATAGCTATTAGCGTAACATAACTTTTATTGTTCTGAGCGTCTATTAAAAATTAAGGTAAGTTTAGGACATCGTCATTGTGTTATTGGGGCACTTACGAAATACTTATTAACTAGTACACTTAACGTTACATCACATATAGAATGAGACATTTTCTAAGTAACAATGGCCGAAGATATTTCGTCATTCCGTTCCCAGTTCCCACCAAAAAGAATCTCATATTATGCACGTGTCGATCTGTTGAACTATATTTCAAAATAATTTGTGATATGTCTATTAAACTCTAAAATAGTTGCCGTAAAAGAAAGTTCTTTGTCCCGGTAAATGAGACAGAAAGCGCCGAGCCGTTTTTTAATTTTTTTCCTACTAATAGAACCTACATGCGTAAGTTTTCTTTTACCACACTAAGTCTGGCCTGGCTAATACATTAATACGCGGGTAAAACACACACACAAACAATTTTTAAGCGGTCCTCCGAGCTTCGAGAAATTTAAGTATTGTGTATGTCAACAACGTTCTTTAGATATAACAATTAATAAGAGAATTAAATTTACGAATCAGAATACGGCCATGAGTCCAACAGATCATACTTAATAAAAAACTCATTTATACATAATATTTAAGATTTTATACATAAGTACACATTTCTATATTTTAATATTAAGTATACGATATCAAGAATCTTAGAATTATTTAAGCTGTTGGTAGATAAAGAAAAAGATTGAATATAATATATAAAAACTTACATATGTACATAAAAACCTTAATTACAAACTGGAGTTTCCCGATAGGATTTTGTATCAGATTTGAATTGGCAGTGTTTTAAGATAAAGCACCAGAAATGTTAGCACTCTTTTCAAAGTATGCGAGTTAAAATCAAAATGGAATTCTGGAGAAAATGCTAAAATATTTTATATATCAAATCGTATAAATGCACATACATGTACTTTAGGAACAATCTCACGTATACCTAATTTTAAATTTTGTTGATAGCTCTGAGATCGAAGGAAGTTTGTCAGCCACCTTGAAGCACAAATATTATTCTAGAGTATGCAGGAAATTTCAAACGCAACTTTGCACAATAAAACAAGTCCTGTCTCGTAATCTTTTTTGCACCTAAGCATATTTGATCCGGTATAAAATACTTTTAAGATTAATTTACCGGGTCAAATAAGTTCTTGGCACTTTATGAAGCCGTAAAGCTTTTCATTAATCCACCATGCGTGTCATCCAATATCAATATTACATTTTTTCAAAGAGAATATATTTCCTCAAAATATTATGTTTTTATGTCCTTTTTTGTAACTATGACGCAAAACGAGTCAAGGATCAAAGGTTTGCAGCTATTCTCATGAGACCTTGAATTTCGAAACACATTGGAACTGCTTTTATTGTGCTTGTGAATGCAAACCGCTAAATATGACCTTAATTGGGATATTAATTTTATATTCTGTATCATTATAGATAAACTTTATATCGGTAAAAAGAAAATTCGCGCTGGGTTGACGGAGTGACGTCACAACGGTATTGGCTCACAGATTATCTCTTGTTCTTATTCTTCATAGTTAAACGCCGCCAAAAGCTCGACTTTTCCGCAGTCGGCTGTTCTTCCCGCGTCTCCTCAGACTTGGTATCTCCCCTTAACATATCCAGGAACGTTGGGTCACTCTTCTTCACGTTCTTCTCTATTTTCACAGCTTCAGCGCTTAGTTCAGCCTTTAGTTTTTCCGGACTTGTGTTTTCGACCTTAAATTCGTTAGGGTCTTCGACGAACGCCTGTTGCAGGTCGCGCATAATCTTTTTCCTTATTGTTTTCTTCATACTGAGATGTCTTTCAAGGGTTTTCACGTCGCCATTGGTGTACGTTCGAAAATCATCTTTTTTCTTACGGCTGGACTTCTTTGTTTTGTCGTCATGTTCGTCGAATGTCTGTTTGGCTTCGTATTGTTGGTTGAGTCCGAAGATGTCGCGAAGGTGTGGGATGGCTCGCTCAGATGTCATTGTGGACGATCACGCCCGCTGCTCCCGGTCACTGGCACCTCATAGTGAGACCTGGAATTGAGAAAATCATTTTTTAATATGCTATAGAATAACTTCGATGGTAAATTTTATAGACATCACTACTTTTTTATACATCTACATTGAAATGTGTTGCTATAAGAATCAATAAATATTATTCTCCTTAATTTTATAATAAGTCCAGATCAGTATTGAATTTGCTTATTACTTAATAATTACAGTTAATTTGGGTAACTGTACCGCTCCTCTCATCACTATAGTAGCTATAATTGAGCTTAGCGGAAAGAGCAAAAGGTGTGTCCATCAATAAATATTTAAAAACTAATTACAGATAATAATTTATTGATTAATTGTTCTTGTCAGAGATTAAAATATAGTATTATCTACAGTGTAATAATACCTAGTCTTAATTATTATAAGCTGATGATAATTTGTTACAAAACATTTACACTATGAAGTCACCTGTATAAAACTGTGATGAAAAATGACTCGGTGGCCATTTTCAGCAACTCCATAGAGACGTTTATGAAATATAAGATACAGGTATCACTTATTCCATCTCATTAAATTTGAATGCAATCTCAATCCAATTTTAGCAATCTTAGATCGACAGTTCAATTTTAAAAAAGCATGCCAATATTTAATCCATGGATTAAGTATGAGTTACCAATCTTACTTTTTTAGCAAGATTACTTGCAATCTTTAGTCGAATAGACTATCGGACAGCAGATTTGTTATATTGGCAAGCAGATTGGAGATCGATCTTAAGATACGAATAAATCTAAGATTGTTTATAATCTTGGATTAAGGATACCTTATTAATTTTGGGCGTTAGCAACCTTGCAGTGTTAATTCTTATTATTTTCTTTTGCTATGTTATACCTACCAAATTGCTGCATAGTTTTTTTATACGGCGCTTGGCGGATCCATGCGACTTATTCGATACAAAAAGTCACCTATCATGTCATTTTCACACGTGTATATCTAACATATGTGTGTATTTTTCTAACATATTTTCATAAGTGTTTGATTGTCCTCAATTTAACATGTGTGTTTTTTGAGAACATAAATAAAATAGTACACAATTACAGTTTATTTTTATAACAATATTATTCGACAACAAGACGCTTTCGGTTAAAGTTTAAACGAATCAAGCGCATTAAAAAGCAGGCAATTTATTCGTACAAGTACGCATATTCGCTGAAATTAAGCGTGAAATATGGGAGAATAGAATAAAAAGACGAAGTTTGATTAAGACACTAGATAGGAGAACTATTAGCTATATAGAAGGAAATATAAGCTACATCGAGTAGTAAATTTCAAATCCGATAAAGAAGATTTATTTTAATGATAAAAAATTTAGCAAAACATGGACTTGATGACCCTTTTGTCTGGTACGCACTTGTGATGGTGTGAAGATATTTAGCACATGATCCAACACAATGAACGCTCTGTAACCAGTGGTTTGTGAAACAACTTCCTCCATTAATCATAAACCCGTGAAATCTTCACTAGGCGATAAATTTGCGTTAGACTTTAAAGTTTTTTTGAATAACATAAAACTTTACTTATAAAAGTCGACTCCAAGTCTTTGTTAACCGCTGTCTTCGCCGTATTCTGGGTATCTACTGGCCCGAGAAGATCTGTAACGAGCACGTCTGTAACGTGTTAGGTGCGCTGCCGCGAAACCCTGATTAGCCAGCAGATCAAGCAACGCTAGTTGAAATGGATACACTCCGAAGAGATTTCAATTATAACCGCAAGCAGGAGCTTGATTGGAACCCGCAGGGAAACCAGCAGCGTGGCCGTTCCAAGCAAACCTGGCGTCGTACAGTTGCAGACGTGGCAAAGAGAACGAAAAGACTTGGAGCGAGGTGAAATACGAGGCTCAAGACCGAACGCGATGGAGACTCACTGTGGACTATCTGGGCGGATCTAGGGCGTCCTTAATGTCATATAGCCCCATTTAGGTGTTATAGGACATAAAGTCAAGTAACATCTAAAAGTTCAAAGTTTGAAGTTCAGGTACCTACATGTTTAGTTACTTTAACAGTTTGCAGACTGCTTTTAAGGGTGAAGGTATAATAGGCTGAATTTTGAATAAATGGGTAACCAATTAAGCCCCTGAAGTTATTAAGTACCATTTTCGAATACAGTAAGGTTTAGTTGTACCATTACACGTGTAGCGACATCTATAATCTGCGCTTACGCTGCGATGACGTCACATCCTAAACCGCGCTAACGAAGTTCCGGCCTCACTGGGACTTTCGGACCAGTCGGTGGTTAGACTAGTTGAGAATTATTCCTTTAGGTTGGAGTACTTCCACTCTTCTTGGTGGAACTACACATGATTTATTATAGGATTCCGTATTGCTGTACTAAAGTTATATGTGTAGTGAGTTTTGAAAATTTTACTTGAATTGTCCTTATCTTTACCCTTTTTTATGTCTCTTTGTATGCTAGTAAATTAATGTAGTAGACGCAGACAGGGCCGATTCAGGATACAAACGAATCGATTTCTTCTTCAGTCGCAATCTTCATTGCCTCTGCTCTTGGGTGATGGTAAGACCTGTAAGACTCTTTACTTGATCGTTCCCGCGAGTATAGGAGGTCCTCTCTGCTCAGTCACGTTAAGTTTTTCTAAACATCCCGGATCTCAGCGTCTTAGATGTCAAAAAAACTTAGTATGAGTTGGTAACAAAGTGTCGTGTCTTTGTATGGACACGTTTGTTTCCTTAGGTGACCAAGGAATCTTCCGCCAACACATTTCCAGAGCATCTAAGTAAGGCATATCAGATATTTTGTGATTTAACACTTTTTAGTGCATTTTAGAATTGGCTATTTTCTTTCACGAAACCCTTTAGTCTATTGTTTTGTGATAATTTTACCTATTAATTTTTATGAGGTGCTTTTTATAAGCTGTCAAGGTTTTTGTATGAATAAAAAACACAAAGCTGTAATATATTGCTACCTTGTTGCAGGATATCAATTAATTTCCCTCAACAATAATCCTCATACATTATTCTACGTACGTTTAGTATGCATAATGAAAACGCGGACGTATTCACTTTCATCTACTCGACGGAACATGACATTCGTCTTGCATTGTTCATAATATACCCGCTTCACTGCATCGCCTCTCACCTACGTAGGGTCGCCACTGGATGGATTAATCAAAAGTCAAAATCATTTATTCATATACCTAGGTAACACAATGTACACTGATGAACGTCAAAAAAAATATATATGAAACGCTTCTAATTTTACATTTACTGCCAGTTCTCAAATCAAGGGCCTAGAACGGAAGAGAAGAACTGGCATTAAACTCTCCGCCACTCATTTTAATCGCCAAGTTTTGATTCTACACAACATTTGTAAGGAGCTGCAACTATTACATCATGTTCCTTATGACATCTTAAGTTATAAAAATATTATTATTAAAGATTTAAGTTGGCGCCTAGTAGATAGTACCGGTGATCCCAAAGCTGGTACTTTCCTGGCTCAACGAATAAGTATCGCAATGCAGCGAGAAAATGCTGCCAGCGTTAAAGGTACACTGCCGCAGGGACCAAACTTTTTAAATTTTTAATAATTTTTATTATTACATTGTATGTTAAGAAAATTGTAAATAATGTATACATGATTGTAAATATGAAATATGTTTATTGTTTCGAAATAAAGTCCTTTGACAATAAATTGACGATCAATATAAATAAAAATTAATCACAAAGTGCTTAGCGCAAAACTTAAAGACAGCTGGACCTGAATTTGGGTAATTTTATTTTGATTTATTTCTTAAGCTCTGAGGAAGGTTTTTATTGGGATAAAAAGGATAGGCCAAGTACAAAACAATCATATTAGGGCGAAACGAGTTCGCGAGGGCGTAACAAAGAATATTCCTAAATTTTTTATCGCTAGCCATCTGGCAACCCTATTATACATTTTGATTTGTTGCGTTACCTCAGTTTACGTACACTGCTTTGTCTAGATTATGGAGTTAAGAGGTGTGGTACAAACACTATGTTTAAGGTATATACTCTGCTATATATGTTGTTTTTAAAAATAACTATCTACCATAGTAAAATATTAAATAAATGATCCAAATCACTATTTTTTTTCGGAATAATTGGCTTTTAAAAAGTTTCCGGTTTGCGAGCACTTCATTATTGGTATAATATAGTTAACAACTAGGATGCAAATAGTGTTTTTTAGAGACAACAATAATTTAAATAAATACATATCGTTTTGATAATCTCCTCCTTCGGTATTTTGGAAGTTGATCGTGAATAGGTAAATGTTGTATATAGACTCGAATTTTTCTTATTTTTTTTAGATTCAAATTGTTTGTCATTGTTTTAAACTCAAATCGCGTTATAAATTCCTCCTTGTATCAGATTAATAATCCTTCATTTACTCGTATAAAACAATAGTAATCCCTCATTTCACTTTACACCATCACACAACACAGCTAAATTAGATTTTCAATTGTTATTGTTTCTTTCCTTTTGTAAATGTTTGAACCTTTTTGTAAATATATGTATTCATAGACATAGACATAACATTGATTACTAGCAAAAACACACACACATAAACACACAAAATAACAAAAATCAAAGAAAAAAAAAATAATGAGAGATATAAAAGAAACTTTTTTCCCTTTTCCCATTCTGTTCGTTTCAAGTGTGTAATGTGTGTGTGCTGTGGTTGTAATTGGCCCTGGTTCAGCATTATGCTGAGGAGCAGAATGTTCCACAGCGCTGGTCATTCTGCCAGAGACCACAGCAGCTAGTTTGCGCCTTAGTCGCAAAATAGAAAGAAAAGGAATGTAATAATAATATTAGTAAAAGTTAGCAATGTAAGTAATGAAGTCTTGTGTAAAGGTGTTTAGTAAATAAAATAAAATTATATTCTATCTTTGGCTGTATCTTTAGTACAATTGTTTTTTATCATATATAATTTATGTTAGCTATTAGCGAAATAAA